AACAACCCTGTCAGGGTTCCACAATAACTGAGATGGGGGTCCTCGCTTCTTGGTCATTTAAACTATAGCCTCAATCTACCACAAAAGAAGGAACACGGTTTTAGGCGTTTATTATTTTATTTTATCCACGATGAAACGCTACGGGTGGTCATTTTAATACATAAACTAACAGCAACTGCCCATTTACAATCCTGCAGGTTGCTCTAAAAACGTAGCTAGATTGTTGACAATCGCATCCGAGTCTAGGCTATTATGCCTTTCCAACTATACTTGAAAATGCAGCGGAATTCTATACAAATTCGCCTCATTACAAAATATGTTTTGGTCCTTTCTTTCCTCTGACGTTTTTCAATCATAAACTCTCCAGAAAACTATAAAAAAAAAAAAAAAAATATTTACCTTCTCTGTGTTAAAGATCAGTTTCCCTGGTGACAGGAGTTAAGGTCTTGTGATATTTCAGGTCGAGTTCGCCAATGACTTTTTCTCACGCCTCAAAAGCACCAAAAACTTCCGCAGAGGTCACGTGACTGATTACAATCAAAAAGGAGCCCAGTCTGCTTTTCAGCCAGTCCACTTTTCAACCGTTGAAGTCTATATGCGAGAAAACACACAGACAGACATAGCCAGGGAACCAGTTCCACACAAATGTTCGTTTTGGAGATGAATCCCAGGCTAACAACTTATTTCTGGACATGCTAATCCTGGACATGTTGACACATTTGTCTATCTCTAGAGAGTAGCAACATTTTTATGGGGGAAAATTCGGTCAGTTGCTTTGCAACAGTAGCCATTCTGAAATTATCGTTCCATTCTGCGTGGAAACATTGTAAAATAATAACAGTGGACATTGTATCCACATACATATTTCTGAGTGTTTCTGGAACGGTGTGTAGTGTCGTTTTCAACCTCAGGAGGGCGACAAGTGACTGCTGTAGTGTTGAGGTGGAGAGGCTACATTGACTAACTGTTCATGGGATAAGAGCTTCTTCACTGGCGCTGAAAATTAGGCCTAGGCCTGCAGCCAGAGTCGATCTGTCCTGATAACGCTCCCGGAGACCAATAGATATAGCCCTACGTTATTTCTGTGAATACATGTGGATTTTCTCATCTGCAGGGGACTTCTTCTCGGGCTAGTTGAGTAGGCCTATATATCACAGAAATCCAATCCCTTAGGACCAAGGCTATTATGGTTTATGGGATTGTATTGCCCTGAAAGTGGCATAGGCCTATTCGATTTTTTTCCAAATAAATTCAGCATGAGATGATTAGGCTCCACAATAAAGACATTGGATGCAGATTATAAAATAACTTTTTTGTCCTACACTCTAAAAAGAAAAGGTTCCTGGAGTATCCTTTAGGGGTTCTTCAAAGAACCCCTTTTAATGGATCCTCAATTAACTTTTTGAATAACCTTTGGGGTTCATTTTTTAAACTACCCCCCCCACACACACACACACTATTGTTATTACTAATAATAATATGCATAACAATAACACAATATTTTAGTTGTCAGTGTTTATTATGATTTTAGTGGCAAAGCAGAATAAAAAAATCCAAATGAGGTAAACTCCCAGCAGAGCCCCTTCTAATGGGTAAATCCTCTGGCGTGTTGATGTTAATGTGTTGATGTTCTCCGTATCCATAGCCAGAATTATTTTGCATTGCATGCTGATCAAACAGGTTTCCTGTTATATTCAGAGGTGTAGGGAGGGTGAAGTCTGTGAATCAAAAAAATAGTAATTATATAGATGATTAACAAAACATGCACATAACAGTATTCATACCTTGGTTTTTGAGGTAAATGTGAACGAAAAAAACTGTTTTGATAATGGTTTTCATACACATACCTTGCCCATAATGTAGAGGCCTATGGGATTTTCATTGAAGAGTTAAGGGAGGAGGATGGTACATGTGATCTGCATAACATACCAATAGACATACCATTGTATGCCTCCTCATCTGTATACCTGCAGACACAGACACAAAAGTGAGCAGTTCAGTCATCTGCACCCAATACAGCTAGCCTTCAACATATCTTATAGCCTACATATTCTTACCTCTTTGTTGATTGATATCCATTGAATTGTGTCCATTTTCTGTTTTAGAAAGATTTGCACAAATATGAAAAGCTAGATGGTATCATCATAAAACAATATCAATTTAGATCATACAAGGGACAAACCTTACCTTAAATTGAGTAGATCTTTAAATTTTTCAGTTAAGTGACTGCACCTGCTGTCCTTTCAAATTCAAATCCAAATGTTTCAGTTGGGCAGTTAGTTTCCTGCAAGAATCCCCACCAACTAAGGAGGTTCCTCGATGAATCCCACCTCCTATGGGGTTCTTGGAAGAACCTTTCGGGGGCAATTTTCAGTGCCAAGAACCCTAAGGTTCTTCGAAGAACTTTGAAGATCTTAGAAGAACCCTTGTTGAAGCCCTAATTGTTTAGAGTGTAGGGGAAACATGGTCTAGGTAGGACACAGTGCTGTAGAATATAGACTATAAATTATAAACCTGCCACCTATTCCATTGGCTTGAATCCTGAAGAGAGACAGAGCAGACACCGTATTTCTGCTATACATACTGTATCTCTACAGGCCAGCTAAACAGAACATACCCTCTGCCTCTCTCCATGTGTGGTTGGCCCAGCAGTAGGAGGCTTGAAAGCATTGGCACTGAGGCAGTGGTACAGAGATACAATTTGGGTTCATTATATAATGAATGTGGGGTTCCAGGTCGTAGTTGTCTGATGACTCACCCTGAATTTAATTCCGCTGCTCTATCGATGATGTGGATGGGTAGCCAGGTCACAGGTCGCAGTTGGCCTTATTTACAGTACAGGACAAAACAAAACAAAAATTGACATAAACTTGAAAAAACATGAGGATTAAACTGGGCTTTAGACTCGGCCCATTTGTCTTGAGCCCTGAACAGTTAGCTAGCCTACATGCTGCCACATCAAACGTTTCCCATGATCTGCCATTCTTGTGAGGAGCCTTTTGCTGCATTCGTAACCAAGTGGGAGGTGGGAATTTACCAGTTGTGAAGTTATAAATACCAGTTGGATGCATTCACATGTTTTGATCTCGTTGAGAAACGCTGGATTGGCTAATGGCCAATAAAGCTGCGTGAATCAAAAACTAAAAGTACAGCTATCATGCTTGTAAACAAATTATAGTGTTCAAAAACCATATTAATAGATTGCTTTTAATAAATAATGTTTTGCTGTTGCATTTAACTAATAATTCTCAAACAGTAAAATAGGATAAATTCCTAAATGTTCTACTTTATCAAATATTCTACTTTACCAAACTTGTCTTGGCATGCACATAAAGTTGTGCGAACGCCATTATACCATAGAAGAAGATAACATGATTTGCAAACATAAAAACTTGTTCGACTATTTCTTAGAAATTGTTTATATAGGCCTCCCGAGTGGCGCTGCGGTCTAAGGCACTGCATCGCAGTGTTGCGGCGTCACTATAGCTTGGGGTTAGATCCCCCTGTGTCACAACCGGCCGGGGGGGCTTTACTTGGCTCATCGCGCTCTAGTGACTCCTTGTGGCGTGCCGGGCGCCTGCAGGCTGACTTCGGTCGTCAGTTGAACAGTGTTTCCTCCGAAACATTGGTGCAGCTTGCTTCCGGGTTAAGCGAGCGGGTGTTAAGAAGCGTGGTTTGGCAGGGCATGTTTCGGAGGACGCATGACTCAACCTTCACCTCTCCCGAGTCCGATGGGGAGTTGCAGCTTTGAGACAAGATCGTAATCACGAAATTGGGGAGAAAAAGGGGTTTAAAAATATATATATATTTGATATAAAGAGATGTAGTAGTCTAATATCATATAGGATAGGTTATGTACTAGGACGTGCTGTCCAAATGAATACGCCCAGGTAGGCCTTTCCCGACTGCAAACAAATGTTACAGAAATAACCATGGAATAAAGTGCATGGATTATGTGAGCAGCGCTACAATACACTGGATCAAGTTTGTTATCTTATTTGATGTGAGTAACTGAGTTTACTGTATATGAATGAAAATTATTTAGGCCCAATTGTGTGTGTGTGTGTAGGTGCTTCAGTAGGCCTAATCGTCTCTTACTACAAGGTAGGACTTAGCCCTGTAACAGTTCATAATGAAGAATCACGTCCCTTCAGACACAGCCATTTCAGACTTACCTGTCCCATAAGACCCATGCTAACCAAACATAATTACTTTAGAAGTCATGTGATTAATTGTAACCTCCCGATTTCCCTGATCCACTCAACAACTGAACAATGTCTGTGTTTTGAGAAATAGGGCCTAAAAACAGAAGGAGCACTGCAATGATTTGGCCTGTTACCATTTCAGGCCCTAAACACCCCTCAAGCACTTTCCTTAGCTATAGCCCTGCAGACTATCTGCAAAGACCGGATTGATTGGTGTGTGTGTGTGTGTTTGTGTGTGTGAGAGAGTTTGGGTTTCAATTAATCCTCTCGCAGAGATTACAGCTCTGATGCTTATGGTCACACACACACCCACACTGTGCTAATGAAGGGGAGGGCAAAATCACCAACAATTCATATCCACAATTACATCACTCACTTCCTCCCCATTCTCTCTGTCTCTCCCCCCTCTCCACTCTCTCCCCGTCTTTCCCTGGTGCTAAGTTGAGCAGGGAGTTGCCATGCCAACCCAGAGTGGGGATCCCTGTTCCCAACTAGGCCACACAGCAGTAGTGGTATTAAACAGTCTGTACGTGTGTGTATTTGTGATGGATTCAGACCAGAACAATCTGTTAAATCAGGTCAATCATTTGTCAGACCTCATTTAGCACACACGCAGACACGCACGCGCGCGCACACACACACACACAAAGTTTAAGAAAGACTCGGATCACAAATGAAATATGAAAACCTTTGTAGGAATCTGTATTTAAGATTTAACTCTACATTCATTCATACATCTGTAGTGTTGAGGAACAGAGAGCGAACCTGTGTGTGTGTGTGTGGCTTGTGAATGTGTGTGTGTGTGTGTGTGTGTTCAGGATGCTTTACAGGAGACAGCCATGTGATCCAGAGACACATGGTATAATGGGCAATAGGGGCAGAGATTCAGGACAAAGAGACTGACTGGAGAGGAAAGAGAAAGTGTGTGTTGTGTGTTTGTGTCACTGTCTCTCTTATCTCACTGAGGTGTGTGTGTGGTGTTAGTCGCTGTCTCTCTCCTCCCGCGTCTGCATCTCGCTGAGTGTACTCTCGTCAATGTTCTCCAGGCTGTCTGCGTGCTGGATGCTAAGCTCGGACACAGAGATTGTGGGCAGTGTAGTCTGCTCAGGGTAGAGCCAGGGCTTAAAGCCCGGGTTGTGTCTCTGCTTCCACTCGCCGTACTTAAGACACGCCTTACTGATCTTCTTCATCGCCTGCACACACACACACACACACACACACACAGAGATCTGCATTTAGCCAGGGTTAAAAAGGAACACAAACAGCAGAGAGCTTCTTGCAGTAGTGGTGTTGTCTGCTGTGCCATAAAGTAACCTAGTGATGGAGAGAGAGAGAGTTGTCTGCTGTGCCATGTAGTAACCTAGTGATGGAGAGAGAGAGAGTTGGCTGCTGTGCCATGTAGTAACCTAGTGATGGAGAGAGAGAGTTGGCTGCTGTGCTTTAGTGTGTTGTCTATCGGTTTGAGATCTAGATATCAGGGGCTCTCCCTCATCTTTCCTCATTCCCTTGAGGACCCATGGCCTATTTCAGCACACACACACACACACACAGTTTCTAGCCCAGGGAAGTGTAGGATGGATCATACATTATACATAGGTGTTCTCCCGTGTCTCCCAAGACCTGACAACCAGACTCTGCTGAGTGAGAGGGTTATGCATGGAGACACACAGCCACTCACACATGCCTGCTACCCATCTCCCTCCCTCTCCTTGCTTCAGCATTATAATGTGGTTATGGGAGTGGGAGTGTGTACAGTGGGAGTGTAATGCTGGGCAGTGTAGGGATAAGCAGTCTGGAATGTACTTACTTTGGGAGCCAGGAACTGGGAAGACTTGTTAACAACCCACTTGGGTAGTGAACCTGGGGGGGGGGGGGATTTTTAAATGTTACACCATGGCATGTCATCCACGGTCAAATCACTCACTGTTAACAGATGTCACACACATGCTCACACCAGAACAAGGGGTGATTTAGAGATAATTAGATGGAGAGATTATCAAGAGCTTTAAGATCTTAAAAGAGTTGGATTAACAGAGAAAGAGCAATAAAAAGAGAGAGAGATGAGAGGGACAGACCCTGACCTACAGATCCATAGTTACTATGGCGATTGCTATAGAAAGAAGGTCCTGAGTATGAATCATTCATTAACTCTCCAAGCACATTAACCACCGGATGGCTCATAATAATGCCTGGAATGGAGTCAATGGAATCAAACATGTGGTTTCCATGTGGTTGATACCATTCCATTGACTCCATTCCAGCCATTACTATGATGTCCTGCCCTCAGCAGCCTCCACTGTGGGGGGGGGGGGGGGCATATATAACCTTTTGGGTCCACGTGTGCCAGGTAGGTCAGAGTGCAGTGGTTCGGTCCATGGCTCTGGATCAGGTAGCCAGTCTGGATGGACACCGCTCGTACCATGTCCTTCTTGGGGGGGTATTTCTACAGGAATACACAGTGGAACAGCCCTAGTTAGCACAGAACACCCCATCTGAGGAAATGGTCTCAACCACTGACAGTTCAACTGCTGTACATTTACATTTTAGTCATTTAGCAGACGCTCTTATCCAGAGCGACTTACAGTTAGTGAATACATTTTTATTTTTTATTTTTTTATACTGGCCCCCCGTGGGAATCGAACCCACAACCCTGGCGTTGCAAACGCCATGCTCTATCAACTGAGCTACATCCCTGCCGGCCATTCCCTCCCCTACCCTGGACGACGCTGGGCCAATTGTGCGCCGCCCATGAGTCTCCCGGTCGCGGCCGGCTGCGACAGAGCCTGGATTCGAACCAGGATCTCTAGTGGCACAGTTAGCACTGCGATGCAGTGCCTTAGACCACTGCGCCACTCAGGAGATACAGTTGACTCCAGTTATTTGGGTTCATTCTGCATGAGTGCACTATATGGCCAGAACATTCAACCAAAATGTATTTAAATAAAATGATGAACTGCCCTGCACTTAAACAGAGTTTAAATTGAAAAGATGACATTCACTTATCAGGAGTTCACTGCACAATATTGTGGAGGGGTAAAGTGACAGTACGGATTCTCACTCTCACTCACAGTTCCTATCCTAGTTCCGCTCTGCATCTCTGTCTGTTCCTGAAGCTGGCCCTGCCTAGTCCAATAACAGTCAACTCTGACACATTCCTCTCAATGAACTCAATGTGAGCAAAGTAGCTGTGTATGTCTGGATGTATGTTTGGAAGTGTCTTGCAGGTTTGTCTGAGTGTGGAATGCGGAAGCTTACAGCAGCAGCAGTCACATGAGAGGCCAACTTAATATTGATCAGACAGAGACACAGAGACAGAGACAGAGACAGAGACAGAGACAGAGACAGAGACAGAGACAGAGAGAGAGAGAGAGAGAGAGAGAGAGAGAGAGAGAGAGAGAGAGAGAGAGAGAGAGAGAGAGAGACGGAGAGACATGGAGACTAAACTGACGAGACATGGAGACTAAACTGTGGTGCGTGTGAACAGTAAACTGAGAGAGAGGAGTAAAAAAGAGAGGTCTGATTCCAAACCAAACCCTTGGACAGGGCAGAGCCACTGTACTGTCTGAGTGTTGAGTAATCTAACCCTGAGCTGCCACTGCCCTATCCAGCAAACACACACAGGCTTTATCCAATGTTAGAAGTGGCACGGACCGATAAAGCTTTATTGAAATGCCAGAGGATTATGTCAACTAATACACACACAGTCTTACTAGAGTAAGCAAATACTCCACTTAAACACACATGACCCACCTTTATCAAACTGCACTTACGTACACACACACACAACCACTAAAGATACCCCAAGACATGTCCATCTACAGCATGTCGATTCAAATAGAGTGGACAGTCCTACTGTAGCATTTGTTTCCCACTGAGGAAAATATCCTGCAGGTCTGTTCTATCTCAAATGTTTCTACCTGCAGAACGTTGTACAACCAGTTGGTTATCCACTGACCCTATCCAAGACTCCAACCCTGTTCCTGGAGACATCGTCTAGGGCACCTGATTTGAATAATTAGCTGGTTGATAAGCTGAATCAGGTTAGTTCCAACTGGGGTTGAGAACTTAGAAAGGGTAGCTCTCCAGGAACGGGGTTGGAGAGCCACGGGGTAGGGGGTATAGTACAGGTTTCTGGACCAGGACACTCTCTCCCTGTACATGTTTATACTTACGGCATGTTTGACAGAGTAGTTCATGATGATGTAATCACTGCCCATGGGCAGCCAGGACCGCAGCGTGATGACGTCACGGTTCCTCAGCGGCTTGGGACACTTCCCTAGACACAGACGAGGAGCCTCATTAACATACACACACAACGCCAAGAGAGTGTGTGTGTGTGTGTGTGTGTGTGCGCGTGTGCGTGTATGTGTCGTACAGGAGTAGTAGCCCACGTCTGCGTTAACAGTGAGTTTTCCGATGTCAAAGGTTTCGATGACGTTTGCGTCCCATTTCCTACGGTACTCGATGTCATGGAGAACATCATACATGGTCTCAGATGAGACGTCCTTACACGCCATCCGACACTACAGGAGAAACACACACACTCTCTTACCGTTAGTCGACCAAACAACAAAATACATTTCCTAACACAGCTGACACCACCCTGACGCCAAATCCCTTACACTACTGTGTGTGTGTGTGTGTGTGTGTGTGTGTGTGTGTGTGTGTGTGTGTGTTTTAAATGAAGAGATGGGCCGGCCAGTGTACACAGATGTGTCTCTAGTCAACAGCACCTAAACTATAAATAACTAACACTATACAAACGCACAGCTACATGGAGGAAAATGTTATAACCTTCCTTAATCAAGTGGCTTGGGAGGGTAGAGAGAAGAGAGAAGAGAAGGAGAGAAGAGAGGGAGAGAGAGAGGGAGAGAGAGAAGAGAGGGGAGAGAGAAGAGAGGGGAGAGAGGAAGAAGGGAGAGACACGATGGGGAGTGAGAGAGAGCGAGATCGCCTGATTAGCGACGAGTCTGAGACCAGAGAGACGAGAGAGGAGAGCGAGGAGGGGGGAAGAGAAGAAGGAGAAGAGGAGGGGGAGAAGAGAAGAGAGGGGCGAGGCGGGAGGAGAGAGAAGGAGAGGAAGAGAGGGGGGGGGGGGGGAGGGAAGGGGAGGCTTTCCCCCCCTATCCCTCTTTTCTCTCCTCCCCTTCCGATCTGGTCAGAGCATTCGCTACAGGAATGTGGTAGGTAGAAGAGCTGAGGGAGAGGCGGAGTACGGGAGTAAATAGGGAAAGATGAAGGAAAGAGAGAAGAGGGTGAGAGTTTAAAGGGTTGTTTTGTGTTGTGTGTGGGGGGGGGGGGGGGGAATTGGCCAATGTCCAGGCTCTTAAAAAGGAGAACGCGCACGCGCATGCACACACACGCACACCAGAGGCCTGCAAAACTGCCCTACAGTAACGCCATCTCCATGGTTACCTCAGCCAAGGGAATACTCCACACCACAACAACACAGACAGAAGACAGAAGATAGGGGGAGGGGAGAAACCCATAGCATTCACAACTTTCGATCACAGCCACATGGGGATAGCCCCGACCAAAAGTAGTTCACTATATGGGGAAACCCATCTCTCAACAGCCTTGTGGGTCTGGCAAGCAAATCTATACTCTAACCTTAACTATGGGTCCATACTGAGACTCAGAGAGAGTGTATCTCACAGAACCGTGTCCAGTAGTAGTCTATACAGACTACTTTCTATGGTCATGAGGACCTATGTTATCAGGTACTACTGCAGTTTCACTAGTGATTCAGTAACCCAACTCTCTCTCTGTGTGTGTGTTGGACTAAGGACTTAAAAGTCACAATGGATTTGAGAGAATAATGAAGCGATTGTGTCCACAGGGCAGATTGAAACAGGAGAGGGGGAGGGAGAGGGAGAGAGAATGAGAAGACTATCATTGTAATTCTATTAAACTAATTCAGTACACTCCTCTACTGATGAGGGCAGGAGAGAGAGAGAGAGAGAGAGAGAGAGAAGAGAGAGAGAGAGAGAGAGAGAGAGAGAGAGACAGAGAGAGAGAGAGAGACAGAGAGAGAGATACACCATTGTAAATACAACCCATATTTATGTTCATTTATTTTCCCATTTGTACTTGAACTATTTGCACATTGTTACAACACTGTATATAGACATAATATGACATTTGAAATGTCTTTATTCTTTTGGAACTTCTGAGTGTAATGTTTACTGTTAATATTTATTGTTTATTTCACTTTTGTTTACTATCTACTTCACTTGCTTTGGCAATGTTAACATACGTTTCCCATGCCAATAAAGCCCTTAAATTGAAATTGAGAGACAGAGAGAGAGAGAGAGAGAGAGAGAGAGAGAGAGAGAGAGAGAGAGAGAGAGAGAGAGAGAGAGAGAGAGAGAGAGACGGAGAGACATGGAGACTAAACTGACGAGACATGGAGACTAAACTGTGGTGCGTGTGAACAGTAAACTGAAATCCCATGTGTGAGAGGTCAATGTTGGCAGTACACGTGTGTATGTATTGACGGAGTCCTGTGGACTAGACACTGCATGCTCACAGTCACATGATACACGACCTCTAACCTCAAACATACACACACCCTTCCCCCTGCATTAGACTGCAGTACAGTCAGCTGCGTTTAATCAAACATCCCTCCTTCTCCCCCTCTCCCCCACTCTCCCCTCTCCCTCTGGCCTGTCAAAGCTCATCTGTTCTGCTGGACAGGGGTAGAGGAATGTGGAAGAGAAGGATGAGATGGGATGAGTGGATCTGTATACCATCAGGTTTCCCTCAGTCCTCAGGGAGTGTGTGTGCTGGGGAAAGTCCAAACAGTAGCCAGCAGTCTGACAGCTTGTCAAACCACCCACATATGATACACACACCGCCCACATATATACAGAAGCATAGCTCGGCTTGCCTTTGTGTGTGTGTGTGTGCGCGTGCGTGTGTCTCAGTATAATGATGATGGGAGGTTAATAGAGATGCTGATGATATGGATGACTAATGGTTACCGGCTGATAGATTATTGACTATAATGATCATTATTCTGCTAATGATGATGATGAGGATGATGAGATGGACAAAGATCTCTCCCCCAACCTCCCCCTCCCTCTGGGAGTTTCAATGCATCTGCACTTTACATGTCACTGTTCTTCACTGCTATTGGCCGTCTGGGAGAGGAGAACACTACAACAGCCTCACACACACACACACACACACTTTCCACATGCATCAGCTGGGAGAGCATCCATGCTTTTATTCCAGTCTCTAAATAGAAGAACAGGATCATAGCATCACTGCCTCCTGAGCACACACAACCATACTGAGACACACAACATATACATTTACATAAGAGTTTAGAGAGACACACACACAAGGATGTAACGGTTTGAGGGCTACTCCCAATCAGTGTGTGTATCCTGCTATGTGTGACAACTGTCCTCCCTCTCTCTCTCTCTCTCTTTCTGTTTGTGGAGCTATTATGAGAAGGTCCACCTGTCCTGTATGAATACACAGAGAGATTACCTCTGCATACAAACTGAGCAAACACACACACACACACACACACACACACACACACACACACCTCTATCCCCTACAGGCATGAGTGCAGTGAAAGACAAGGCCTCTCCTTAAGCACACTTTATACACTGTGGCATTATGCAAATCAGGCCAACGGACACTTCAGAGACAGATAGATGACAGCTAATATAACAGGTTTACTGCCTGCCTACCTAGCTACCAGACCCATTATAGGCTCCTTTCTCTGATGGTCATGTCTGTCAAAAATGTCTGTGTGTCAGTTAAAGTACCTGTCATAGAGTAGCCCACACTCACAGGTAGCAGAACAGGAATCTCTATGGGGAAACAGAACAGACTTCTACCTGCAGCTTCTTACATCACACACAGCTGGTCTCTCACTCTCTCTCACACACACACACACACACACACACACACACACACACACACACACACACACACACACACACACACACACACACACACACACACACACACACCTGTCTGAGTTTAAAGTGGCCTGCTCCAACAGTGTAACGTCAGAGATGATTAATCACGTGTACAGTCCACACACATCCTGGTTGACCTTCTGTTTCCCTCTCTCCCCTCCTCCCTTCATCAAACAACTCCATGTGAACACCTGTTTGCCGGCTATCCTGTCACAGACCCGGATACATACACGCTGGCACCCACAACACACACCATACCCAGGCCCTGGCCCAATACTTTTCAAATCTATCTTTACTTTCTTCCTGTAAATAACACTTCCTTGCCCTCCTTCGAGTAATATTCCGAAAGGATTTGAATTTAGGCCATTATGACTTCCTGTTATGGGACTGTGTGACCGAGGTAGCCCATATGGTGCCCGCTGCTCCTCACATATTCTATTCAGCTGTGTACCGGCCTACCCTGTTCTCACCTTAATCTTGTGGATTGACTTCTCCTCGTCTCCTGCTATAGTCTGGGTCCACACGGTCATGCCCGTCTTGTTGTAGGTCAGACTCCAGCCCTCCTCGCTCCCGCACTCCTCCTTGAAGTTGCTGAATGCCCGGTCGTCCGGGATCAACACCGACTCCCCCGACATTATCTGTTACCGGTGAGAGCGAGCTCGCTCTTCTGCAGTTCACCGGGAAGAACAACGATGAGACCGAGCCGAGGTAGGGGAACTCCAGGTGGCGAAGAGACCCAATCCTGAGGCAAACTGGGACGAACGGGCACCGGTGAGGAGTGACTGGGCTAAACTACGCACTCCTCTATCCTCTGAGTGAATTATTCCCCTAATTTAATATATCACATATACCGAGCAAGCAGTGATGATGTGTTAGAAATGGGAGCTGCGCGGGATCACTGAAACTGTGCAAACACGAAGCAAGCACAAAAACACCGGTATAAAAATAAAATATATTTAATATAAACTATACAATCACATGAGTGGAAGCTTTCCGGCGTTAATCTTATAACATTATTGACCCTCTCGCGTGAATCAATTTCAGTTCAATATGGTCCGCAGCAGCTATTTCAGGTTTCTGCAGTCTCACGGCGACTCGACTGGAAATGAAAGCCTGACAAGTCCGAGGGTTATGATCAATTGTTGCCGGTTTACATATCAGTTCCCCAGCGTCGCTGTGTGCCCCACTATGGTCCCTCGACGTCGTTGGAGGTTGATGGTGCAGTGTGGGGAAGAGAGGAAAGCGTTGGAGACACACAGAGAAGCGATAAAAGATTGACAATCGAAGTGAAACCGCCCACTCGGCTACGTGCACACACAGACGCACGAACACACATCCCTGTATCAAGGACCAGAAATCAGCAGCGCGCCTGGTCCTATAAGCAAGCGTGTACTCTCCTCCCTACCTCCACCCTTTTTTCCTGTTGTTGTTTATTTTCTCACTATTTTTCTATCTATTTCAACAACAGAACCATTACTGCGGGAGATGGCTATTGGAGGAATGCCTTTAGGAAGTGACTTTTGTAGGATTTGAAGACAATTGGATGCTTAGCCCAAAGCCAATAGGGGGTCCGGGAGAGAATGCAAAAAAAAATGCGTGAATTTGGTGCACTTTGAGATGAACATTGAGAGATTAGAACATTGAGAGACCAACCGCAGACCATGTGTAACGACGCCAGCAAAGGACCTCCACATCAGGCTTCTTCACTTGCGTCATCGTCTGAGATGAGCCACCCGGACAGCTGATGAAACTGTCAGAAACCGTCTCAGGGAAGCTCATCTGTGTGCTCATCGTCCTCACCAGGGTCTTGACCTGCCTGCAGTTCGGCGTCATAACTGACTTCAGTGGGCAAATGCTCACCTTCGATGGCAACTGGCACGCTGGAGAAGTGTGCTCTTCACAGATGAATCCTGGTTTCAACTGTACCGGGCAGATGGCAGACAGTGTGTGCCCCATGGTGGCGGTGGGGTTATGGTATGGGCAGGCATAAACTACGGACAACGAACACAATTGCATTTTATCTATGACAATTTGAATGCACAGAGATACCATGACGAGATTCTGAGGCCCATTGTCGTGCCATTCATCCGCCCCCATCACTTCATGTTTCAGCTGTACACAATTCCTTGAAGCTGAAAATGTCCCAGATCTTCCATAGGCTGCATACTCACCAGACATGTCACCCATTGAGCATGTTTGGGATGCTCTAGATTTACATGTACAACAGGGTGTTCCAGTTCCCGCCAATATCCAGTAACTTCGCACAGCCATTGAAGAGGAGTGGGACAACATTCCACAGGCCACAATCAACAGCCTGATCAACTCTATGCGAAGGAGATGTGTTGCACTGATTGAGGCAAATGGTGGTCACACCAGATACTGACTGGTTTTCTCATCCATGCCCCTACATTTTTTAAAGGTATCTTTGACCAACAGATGCATACAGTGGTGTGAAAAAGTGTTTGCCCCCTTCCTGATTTGTTATTTGTTTGCATGTTTGTCACACTTAAATGTTTCAGATCATCAAACAAATTGAAATATTAGTAAAAGATAACACAAGTAAACACAAAATGCAGTTTTGAAATGAAGGTTGTTATTATTAAGGGAAAACAAAATCCAAACCTACATGGCCCTGTGTGAAAAAGTGTTTGCCCCCCCTGTTATAACACAACTCAACTGTGGTTTATCACACCTGAGTTCAATTCCTCTAGCCACACCCAGGCCTGATTACTGCCACACCTGTTCTCAATCAAGGAATCACTTAAATAGGACCTGCCTGACAAAGTGAAGTAGAACAAAATATCCTCAAAAGCTAGACATCATACCGAGATCCAAAGAAATTCAGGAACAAATGAGAAAGAAAGTAATTGAGATCCATCAGTCTGGAAAAGGTTATAAAGCCATTTCTAAAGCTTTGGGACTCTAGCGAACCACAGTGAGAGCCATTATCCACAAATGGAACAGTGGTGAACCTTCCCAGGAGTGGCCGGCCGACCAAAATTACCCCAAGAGCGCAGCAACGACTAATCCAAGAGGTCACAAAAGACCCCACAACAACATCCAAAGAGCTGCTGGCCTCACTTGCCTCAGTTAAGGTCAGTGTTCATGACTCCACCATAAGAAAGAGACTGGGCAAAAATGGCCTGCATGGCAGAGTTCCAAGACGAAAACCACTGCTGAGCAAAAAGAACATTAAGGCTCGTCTCATTTTTGCTAGAAAACATCTTGATGATCCCCAAGACCTTTGGGAAAATACTCTGTGGAATGACGAGACAAAAGTTGAACTTTTTGGAAGGTGTGTATCCCATTATATCTGGTGTAAAAGGAACACTGCATTTCAGAAAAAGAACATCATACCAACAGTTAAATATTGTGGTGGTAGTGTGATGGTCTGGGCCTGTTTTGCTGCTTCAGGACCTGGAAGACTTGCTGTGATAAATGGAACCATGAATTCTGCTGTCTACCAAAAAATCCTGAAGGAGAATGTCCGGCCATCGGTTCGAGACCTCAAGCTGAAGCGAACTTGGGTTTTGCAGCAGGACAATGATCCAAAACACACCAGCAAGTCCACCTCTGAATGGCTGAAGAAAAACAAAATGAAGACTTTGGAGTGGCCTAGTCAAAGTCCTGACCTGAATCCTATTGAGATGCTGTGGCATGACCTTAAAAAGGCAGTTCATGCTCAAACCCTCCAATGTGGCTGAATTATAACAATTCTGCAAAGATGAGTGGGCCAAAATTCCTCCACAGCGCTGTAAAAGACTCATTGCAAGTTATTGCAAACTCTTGATTGCTGCTAAGGGTGGCCCAACCAGTTATGAGGTTGTAGGGGGCAATCACTTTTTCACACAGGGCCATGTGGGTTTGGATGTTGTTTTCCCTTAATAATAACAACCATCATTTCAAAACTGCACTGTGTTTACTTGTGTTATCTTTGACTAATATTTAAAATGGTTTGACCTGAAACATTTAAGTGTGGCAAACAATTAAGAAATCAGGAAGGGGCAAACACTTTTTCACACCACTGTGTCTGTATTCCCAGTCATGTAAAATCCATAGATTAGGGCCTAATGAATTTATTTCAATTGACTGAGTTCATATAAAGGAAATAACTCAGTAAACTCTTTGAAATTGTTGCGTTTATATTTTGTTCAGTATAAATTTGCCTGTGTTAAGTGAACTGAGCAAGTCGTGCAAGTGGAATCTGCTGAGCTGCAAATAATTCCAGTAGTCCTAAAACTGATCTTTCTGGTTCCTCCCCATAGTTTAAGTGAAAGAGCGACAATTAATGGCATTTATGGCAGTTGAGCAAGTTGAGCCTGCTCTGAGAATTTTGTAACAACCAAAATAAAGAATTCCTGTACTGATCTTTCTGATTCCTCCCTTGTGTACATTCTTAGAAACGAGAATTCTAAAAGGGTTCTTCGGCTGTCCCCACAGGATAACAGTTTTTGGTTCCACATAGAACCCTTCTTGGTTCCAGGTAGAACTCTTTTCGATTCCATGTACAACCCTCTGTTGAAAGGCAAACAAGTGTTTCGCAAAGAACGCCTCACATACAAAGATTAAATGATAGCAGAGAGAAGAACACTTACAGAGAGAGGGACTGTTCAGTCTCAACTCTCTGCCACTCACTCACTCTCTCCCTTTCCATTACTCATCATAACGGAATCCTTCTGCTTGACTAGGACTTTATGGATGTCCACTGGAGTGGTGTGACTGGGAGGTATACAGCCTGGTACTCTAGAATTAGGCTACTCTGTATTGAGACACAGGGGAAAAGTATCCCCGCTTGTGAACACACACTGCACGCTACTCGTCACTTCCTGTTGAACGCGGAACGAGGGAGAGCTCGTTTTGTTGTTTTGGAAAGTTTGTTGTTTTGAAAGTGTATTGGAAAGTTTCTTAGTAGCTAGCTAACTTTTGTAGTTTGGATCCCGCGACGCAGTTGGCATCAGTTGCTGGGACTGCTACTCTCTGTCCAGTGATCCTGCCGACCAAGGCCGGGTCTGAGGAGTTATTTGGCGTAGCAGCTAGCCTAGCTGCTAGCTAGCTGCCTATTAAGCTAGCAGGGTTTCTTGAGGGCTTAAACGAAGCCCGCAACGTGGTTAGCCATTGTGGCTGGGACCGTGGATTGTCCCGGGTTTGTGGCTGTCTAGATCCCTGCTGTTTGTTGTTTTCCAATCTTCCCTGTGAACTGCCCTGTCTGTAACTGTGAGGAGTAACAGCGTAACCTACGTTGCTAGCTACCATGACAAAGACCAAAGCCGGCGAGAGTACCATTGAGGACAGTGGTGTCTCTCTATCACAGGTGAAGGATCTTTTAAACAAACAAAAAGAGTTCTACAAGCAGTTGTTACAACAACAAGAAAATAGCTTCAAGTGTTTTGTCCAAATACTGGTGGATTCAACTAATAAAAGAATGGACAACCTGACCAGAGAGGTCCAGGACCTGAAGAACAGTTTGCAGTTCTCCCAGGGTCAGCTCGATGAGTTGAAACAGGAGAATAGCAAGATGACAGCAATCTGTAAGTCATTGAGAGAGGACATCAGTTCTGTGTGTGAATCCATGATAACATCTCGAGGGACAATCAAGGTGGAACAACATGGTTGTGGATGGAATTGCAGAATCTCCACATGAGACCTGGATGGAGTCTGAGGACAAAGTGAGGGAAATGATCTCTGAGAAATTGAAGATGGACCACAGGAAGATTGAGGTGGAGCGCACCCACAGGACTGGAAAACCCACCGCCGGCCCAGGTGACAGGCCCGATAGTGGTCAAGTTCCTGAGGTTCAGGGACAAAGTAACTGTTCTGGAAAGAGCCAAGAATTTGAGAGGAACGTATATTTTCTTCAACAAGGACTATCCTGAAGCTGTGCGCCAGAAGAGGAAATAACTTATCCCAGCCATGAAAGCTGCCAAAGCGCGTGGGGACATTGTTTACATCTGCTATGATAGGCTCATTGTCAATCCTCCCTCCCAGAAGCCTGGAAGGGATGAGAGAGCCAAGCCTATCGGTTCATAGCTTCAACCCCGCAGCACACACACGTACACACACACCAATTGATTAATGGAATGTATATATTTCTTGCTTTTTTTCCATATTATGTCTATATCTGATAAGCTACCCAGGAAAGGGCTGAAAGTAGCCCATATTAATATGTAGCCTTAGAAATAAGGTTAATGAAATCAATAACTTGCTAACATCAGATAATATTCATATATTAGCCATTTCTGAGACTCACTTAGATAATTCATTTGATGAAACAGTAGTAGCAATACACGGATATAA